AGGAGTGCATTTCATGTACTTCTTAAAGAAAAGGATATTCGATAATATAATCCACACAGTAGACACAAGCTGCCAACACATTATCAGTTATCAACCCAGCACTCTTAAACCAATGCTACCTGAGTACAGCAGAAACATGCTGACATGACATTTTCTATTATAAAGTTGAATGTGTTAGCAGTTGCACAGTACACATCCAGCAGATACTTGGCAACATCATCACTCAGTTGGAGTTGAGTTGTTGGACATATGCTGAATGTCATTGCAGTGTTCGAACTTCTCTTGAGTTTCTGTTTTGGTATTCATCAACTCCTAAGGGAATTACATGGTTACATGCTCCACTATGTTAACAGTCACTACCTTTTCTGTCAGCTGTTTGGTGCTTGGCAGGTTGAGGTAAAAGTAGTGAAAGTTAACCAAATGATGGTCTTACAATAGAGACATATGAATATAGCTAATTCAATTTTCAAATAATCTACACTGTATTAGAATTCATAAATGTTCTTTCCATAATATTGTTTCATCTTTCATGAAGCTGAGCAGCAGAGTCATTATGTCATTTAGAGACGAATAGCAAGGCAGCCATGGGATCTTCCTGGAAAATAGGCATAATTCCTGACTCACTCCTCGAAATCTACATAAAAAGCAGACAATTAGGAATGTAATGTTACAGACAGTAGACAGTCTGTTATGAACGGAGTCGGACAAGAATAAGGTTAGAGAGATGTTTGTATTTTTTTTATTGGCTGTTTAGAGACTTGTATCCAGGTGTAGATAAGTGGAAATAAAGAAACAAATCTGTAACTAAAAAAGAAAATGTATTGGCTTTCCTTCTCCAGAAATCAGTGCTACCAGGAGATTCACATTATTTGCTCTATTGCAGGGTTAATCCAATCAATTTATGTGTGCAGATATGCCTGTCAGATATAGATGACGATACTTATGTTGTTGTCATCTTTATTTGTCCACTCCTGTCCCCCTCTCATCTTTTCTGCTGGTTTGTTTGCAGATCTCCTGGCTTTAGAGATGACAGCCTCATCAAGTCTTTCACTGTTATAATGTGTTATAAGTATGCAGAAACATGTACAGATTTTTCTGTGCGCTTGATTGTGTATTTTTTGATAAGGGCAAATAAGTGTTCAATTTGTGATGACAGGAACTGCAGACAAACAGCTGATGGTGTTGTTAGTAAGTGTATATACAATTTTGTGCAACAAAAATACAAAAATTAGGAACACTTCCTGTTTTCAAGATACTCCAAAGCTGTTCTGTTTTGTACATCACCAGCTATCTAAATGGTAAGCCTGACTACCAGGCCTCAAATTACCAATCGACCTGCTAGGTGAGTGCTTTCTGCTCTTAGTGGTCTTGTTATAAACATAATGTATGGGTGCTGCCTTTATCAAAACCAGCGGTAATGAGATAACTTGATGAGTTTGAGCATCTGTTTTTTGTCAATTATTGTCACAACATTTAATAAAGACTTCTGTTAAAATGTCCTTTGTACGGTGGCCCTGAAGTGCAAGACACCACAGCATTTCACAAAACACTACAGCATTTCACAAAACACTACAACATTTCACAAAACACTACAGCATTTCACAAGACACAACAGCATTTCACAAAACACTACAGCATTTCACAAAACACTACAGCATTTCACAAAACACTACAGCATTTCACAAAACACTACAGCATTTCAGAAGACACCACAGCATTTCACAAAACACTACAGCATTTCACAAAACACAACAGCATTTCACAAAACACTACAGCATTTCACAAAACACTACAGCATTTCAGAAAACACCATAGCATTTCAGAAAACGCAACAGCATTTCAGAAAACACCACAGCATTTCAGTAAAAACCACAGCATTTCACATTGGACGGAAAGGGTATTCCTTTAGGGAGAACACTTCTTGTTTGTGATTGGACCGAGCCAGCCAGAGAAGCACTGCTGTGATTGGTTGTTTTTGCTGTCAGCATCCGACAGCGCAACATGTCCACTCCCAACACATCAGCCGTTAGCTGTTAGCACACAGAGCTCACAGCTCCTCATATCTGTTCAGAAACTGGACAAAATGTTGACCAAGGACCAGGAGTGGCTGGATCAAGTTAGCTACCTAGCTAGTAGCTAGCACGTTAGTTAGCATTACAGCCTTGTCATTTGTATTAGCCTTAATATGAAGTAACATTAAGTAACCCAAATTGTTAAACAGTAAGAGTCATATTTCGTGAACCCTTTGAAGAGTACTGTCACCGGTGTGATCATTCTATAATACACAATTTAAGCCCGGGGGAGAAATGCTAACGCTAGCATCGGCGATCGCCGATCTTTTCTACTCCATGCTATCTGCACAAATGGTTGACATTAAACATTAAAAAGACCAGGCAGTTCAGAGAGAATCAAAGGAAGGCAGGCAGGCAGCTTTGCATGACATTCTTCTGGACATGTTTCATTGTGGTGATAGTGAGGGTAGTCAATCGTTTTGTTGACAAGACAGTAGTGACGGCCATCTTGGTGACGTGTGTTGTTCTGCGAGACCAGAGATGTAGTTCATTGAGCGTTTCACACAAACAAATGTGTTACTTCACAGTTTTACGACACATTTATTTATTTTTGACTGGCAAAATTATCTTTTAAATTGACAAACATCATATGTGTAATTCGTGGCACAATTCAAACGGGATCGAAAGATAATCTTTCTCTCTCCATTGACTTAAATACATATTTTTTTCCAAATAAGGTCCCATGGAGGTCCACCGGAAGGGGAGGGACTTCGCCACTCTATAGAGAGGCGAAGTCCCGCCCATCTACTTCCGGTCCATGGGACCTTATTTCGGAAAAATGATGTATTGAAGTCAATGGAGAGAGAAAACGTATCTTTCGATCCCGTTTGAATTGTGCCATGAATTACACATATGTTTGTCAATCTTAAAAAATAATTTCTGAAGAGTTTATCGCCGGCCACTAGAGGGCAGCGTCTCACTGCTGTCACTGACCGGATATGCCGTGCTCTGACCCGGTACAGAGCCATATAATAGAATGGCTATGGCTATGGCTATCTATTATATGGCTCTGACCCGGTAGTGCCGAGCGGCCATTTTAGTTCGAACATTGTTCCTTCACTCCACCTCGAGTTGAGACGTTCATCCACTCATTCATGTAGGATTGTTTCCACTATTGTTTGGTGTGTCTATACTTTGTGTCGTTGTATATTTGTGTTGTGTTGGTGATGACATACATGGATGTAGTACTTTGTCAGCTTATCTTGCTGCATTGCTCTGTTTCAGGGTGTCGTCATCCCTGTCAATAAACTACCGAAACTGACATTGAGGAGTGTGTTTCTTCAATTTCCATGTCAAAAAAGTCCCAGTTTGTCTTAAAACTGTTGAAATATAAGACTATGAAAAATACGCAACTAGAAAGACTACAAATCCCAGAATCCCGGTCCCACATGCTGGCTCTTACGGAACCGACTAACTCCCCTTGTGTGTATGTACAGCTCTCAACATGCCCAGAGTAGTGATTTTCACCTCTTTTAATACTTTTCGCCTCATTCTGAAAGAAAGAAGTGAAATGTGCCAACGTGATGGCCGTCTTGGTGTGTGGTGCGAGACGGGATATGTAGTTCATTGAGCGGTTTCACACAAAAAAAGTGTTACTTCACAGTTTTACGACACATTTGAATTTTTTTGACTTGCAAAATTATCTTTTAAATTGACAAACATCATATGTGTAATTCGTGGCACAATTCAAACGGGATCGAAAGATAATCTTTCTCTCTCCATTGACTTCAATACTTTTTCCGAAATAAGGTCCCATGGAGCTCCCCCGGAAAGGGAGGGACTTCACCTCTCTATTCAAACAAGGCGGGGGGGCGGGGCGTATCTCCATGTAAATCGAAATCGGATCGATCAGGCTAAACTAACCTGTAGCTGCTCCGTCCACATTCACAACAACGTCATACAGACATAAATAAAGCAGCGACTGTATTCGCCATGACATAGACAGTCTGTGTTTTGTATATGTTTAACTTTTGTCCAGTTTCTGAACAGATATGAGGAGCTGTGAGGTCTGAGTGTGTGCTAACAGAGCGGCTGAGGTGTTGGGACATGTTGCGCTGTCGGGTGCTGACCAATCACGAAGCGTCATTTCTTGACTGGCAGCAAAAACAACCAATCACAGCAGTGCTTCTCTGGCTGGCTCTGTCCAATCACAAACAATAAGTGTTCTCCTAAAGGAATACCCTTTCCGTCCAATGTGAAATGCTGCAGCGTTTTGTGAAATGCTGTTGTGTTTCTGAAATGCTGTAGTGTTTTGTGAAATGCTGTGGTGTTTTCTGAAATGCTGTAGTGTTTTGTGAAATGCTGTGGTGTTTTCTGAAATGCTGTGGTGTTTAGTGAAATGTTGTTGTGTTTAGAGAAATGCTGTAGTGTTTTATGAAATGCTGTGGTGTTTTCTGAAATGTCGTGGCGTTTTCTGAGATGCTGCAGCGTTTTGTGAAATGCTGTGGTGTTTAGTGAAATGTTGTTGTGTTTAGTGAAATGCTGTAGTGTTTTATGAAATGCTGTGGTGTTTTATGAAATGTCGTGGCGTTTTCTGAGATGCTGCAGCGTTTTGTGAAATGCTGCGTCGTTTTGTGAAATGCTGTAGTATTTTTAAAAATGCTGTTGTGCTTTCTGAAATGCTGTTGTGTTTTCTGAAATGCTGTGGTGTCTTGCACTTCAGGGCCACCATAACTTTGTTTTCATCTTACCTACATTCACTTTAGAGGTCCCACTGCTGACAACCATGCCACTTTAAAGTCTACAGAGCTATTTACAAAAGTCGATCCTAAATATCCAGCATGTCTTCAGATAAATCCAGTTCTCCTACACTAAAAAACATTAAAAAAGGCTGTTTCCAGCTTGATAAACAGAAGAGGGAAAGTGTGTCTGCACTCACCTTACAGGTGCCCCTGGAGTTGTCTTTGAAAACAAAAAAGTTGTACTCACCAAAATACATTGTATGTATCCTTGATGTCAAACAAACGTGATGAGAGCATTCTTTTCCCATGAAATATATTAGCAGTTGAGTTTTTCTAAGTATTTAAATTCAGCGTTGTTTACATCCATGTTTGTTAGTATTCTTCTTCTCTCCTTTCTTTGCTGTTGCAGGACATTTTGGCGTGTTACTGCCACCTAGTGATCAGTGGAAAAGAGTCACACCTGTATTGAGGCACGTGTTAAACAAAATGGGGAACAACTCGTTGAAAACAGCCCCATAAAGCTAGTGATGGTCTGAAAAATCCTCTTATAACCATTACTTATGGATTTAAGATTATGAACAAGTAGTGATGTGTGATATCACAACTAAAAACCAATCATGGTTCTCAAGGAACATATATAAAAAAGTTATAATAAATTTAAAGTAGGACAAACTAACCCTGAAACTGTCAAGTTATTATTCCAAGCATATCATGTCACGTTTTACAGGACCCTTTTCAAAAGGTAAGAGCAAGAATGAACTGACGCAATCTATGTTTATCACCGGATACTGTGCCTGTAATTTTGAAAGATAGATTTAATTACAGATGGTGATGATCAGATAATCACTTCAATAACCAAACAATGTTATGATGTGATTTCTCACAATTTATCATTTGACCATTAGTTATAGGCTGCTATATTATTGATAACAAAATATATGCTATGACAAGATGATACACATGTAGAAATAGGTTGTTTAACAATCACTGTTGACTTTCACTGACATATTGAGTTGTATCAAACCACTACCCTATTGTTTATCTTTGTGATGTTTGCTGGAACAAATGTTAAAACAAGGTCATTTAACAATCAAAGAGTAGGCCTAGACTACAAACATGTACAAAGAGGTAATTTAACAACCACACACGACACATGCATAATTCACCCACATAATGAGTTTAATCAAATTACTAGCTCGTGATTTCCTCCCATTATGGTGTTTTGTTATCTTTTAACGGTGTCCAGAAGTGTCCAAACCGAGTGCACACACGCTGAGAAGAGGCTGCCTCCCCCCGTTGTGCTCGGCACACAGACCGAGATAAGGCGAGGAGGAGCTCCACCACACACACGCTCATTCGCATAACCGGGAGGCAGTTAGACGCTCTTGGATTACCGGGCAGCGAAGTGTCACCGCTCATACCGGCTCCAGATCGGCACTCCTCCACCGCACCGCCGATCATTAATCCCTCTCATAAAAAGGCAGACACCTGGGCAAAGCCGCGTTTGATTTTGATTTATTTTTTTATTATGGTTTTTATCTCTGTGGATGCAGAGAAAAAAGTTTTGTATTGACGCTGCGTTGAAAAGGAGAGTCAAGTCTCCAGGAGGGACAGCACCGGGCTTCTCCTCAGCATCTGTCTCTTTCTCTGGGGCTGCTGTTTCCAAAATCTGTTCAAGTGAGGTAAGTCAGTGAGGATTTTCTTCTTATTAACTTATTTTAGTTACTGCTGCTGCTGTTACGATTAGTCTGCTAAATTGGGGATTGCATTTTCAGTTTGCCTGTCAATCCATTTTAATCCAAATTATCTTTTTTCGTGACACATCTACTAGCACTGATGAAGGAGAAATGTGCTCCTCTTTGCACAGGGTTATGGTGACTGTGTGCAATGTGAATTGGATTTTCATTTCCCTGTGTTTATGTTATATGGATTATATTAATTATTATTTAAGGATTAATATTATTGCAGCCTGTATTTGGTGCTTAAATCCGAACACCAGTAGTATTTTAAGCAAGGGAAAAAAATGCAAGATGTGACTCATACTCATGTGCTCATGTCAGTTGTCTATGGTTCTCTTTTTATATGGCATTCTGGTAAATACAGTAATCCACATGGTATTTCAAATAAACCAATGCTAATCTGCTAATTTCTGTGCAGATCGGATACCACTTGGTGAGTCAATGCAAATGTATTGAGCTATTTTCCATACAAACTGTGCACATATTGCAGCTCGGTTTCTTCTAAACGTGTCCTCTTTGCAACCAAAAATATGTGAATCCTGTACGGCACACACACATTCACTCTCTCACGACCTACACAGCCACACACAGAAATGATTGCTTTGTATTCACACGGGCTCCTGCTTTTCTTCAAGAAAAAATAAACCAGAACACAACTGGAGAGTCATCTGCTGGCATTAAATATAATTTTAAAAGGTAATAAATACACATTAAGACTCCCCCACACACACACAAAACAGCAGTCACACAGCATGCAATTCACAAAGGTTGACATGCATACACAGATTAAAGGTCAATGCATGCAACCTTTCTGCACTTGCTGTATTAATCATAATGCCACACTCGAAGGACACGGTGTGAGTGTCGAGGTGAGGCTTAGACTGCTTTTTGCTTTGCTCCAAGAAAGAGCTGTTGACTTTTCACGAGTTATATTTTCATCCAAATCCACCCAGGACTCTGTCTTCCTTCTCAACGCTTGAAACCATCTTCATGCATTCACCCTCATATTGATTATATTAGCAAAACCGTGGAAAGGGAAAATAAGCATTCCTTCATGGACCCATCGGCCCGCAAGCCGGAAACAAATTAATCCAAAATCGCCGAATGCTGCGTGCCTCTGTTCAGTCTCCAGTTGTGGAGGAAACAGAGCAGAAAGCTGAAGTGACTGCCTTGAAGATGTCTGTGGCTAAATTGGGATTCTTCTTTTGGGGATTCCTTGGTGTTTACGTAACCGTGTTTAGAGTAATGGCATGTGTCATCTGGGGGTTTGTTAGAGGCGATGGTGAGTGGAGCTGATATGAATGCGAGGAATGAGAGCTTCTCAGTATACTGATCTACCAGTATTGTGCACTACAGACAAGGACAAGAATAGCAACAAACACACAGAGAGGATGTCAGAGAAAGGGAGGGAAACAGAAACAGCAGGCTATGAGAAAGACGGCGATGAAGGGATACGTGCAGACAGCAGGCTGAGATATGTTCAGAGCCCCGCAGTGAGTTGGGCTGCGCTGGCATCGTGTTTGGCTGCTTTCTGAGTGTCAGAGATAAGTTCGTCATTCATCATACCGCATGCTGTCTGTCGGTCTGGTCTGAGACGGGTGAGCGGGCAAGCCAGCAAGCAGAACATTCACTCCCCGTTTCAAGGAGCAGCAGCGAGAGGTCTGCTTGGAAATATGAAAAAGGAGGGACAGTGTGCATCAAATTCAAGAACTGCGTATGTGAGATATCAGTGGCTTCCAAGGGTTTGGAAAATGCTTTAAGCCCAACTGAAAGGGAAATGGATAAACAGGGGGGATACACACTTGTGCAGCATCTCTGTGCGTTTGTATCGGAATGGGATGAGGGCGACTGCCATGGGAAAAAACTGCATAAATGCAAATACACAGCTTTACCTAATGGCACACACAGCTTCAGCTTCAGTTTCACACACACACACAGTGACACACAGTCATGCAATTAGGTCCCATCACTCAGGGAAGGTCAGCGACTATCTTCTGCTTGTTCTTATTCCTCAATATTAATCAAGCTAATGCACCATGTTTAATTCATAGATACATGCGATGACCCACAATGTCACCCTCTCTCTGTCTTGGCATCCTAATCGTGTTCATGAACAAGGCGCTCAATTAACTCCTCAGGAATTACAGTGAAACTGCTCCTGCGTGTCTCTTGGAAAATCAGAGGAATCTTGAATCATGTGAACTAACATGATTGTGGTACAGAGTTGCCAACGTAGAAAAGCCCTCTCCTTTGACTCCTAGCTGTATTAAGCTTGTCGGTTAATGCAGACAATGTTGCTGTCATGAAGGGCCGGACTGGGACAATAAGTCAGGCCGGGAATTATACACCCAACCAGGCCACTACCAGTTTTATTTTGTGCAATTTTCCTGGATTTATTTGTCAATATTTACAGCGTTGCTGCCCATAGTGATAGCCCTAAACTTTAAAACTACCCCAGAATAAACATATGGACATGGGTTACTATTTTTTTTTAAAAGTGCAAATCTATTTAGGAACCTATCCATGTGAACATATTTTAAGTGGAGGTGGACCTCAAATCCTCTAGGGGGGTTGGGGGCATGCTTCCCGCGGAAGATTTTTTTTTTTTAATGTTGGACTTAAATGCATCAATCTGGTGCACTTTGAGGGGGAAATAAAGAGACTACACCCATATGAAACAGAACTGTATACATTTAAATAATCATAAAATCATAAGAACATGGCCATAACCAATAACATACCATATCCAATATGAAAAAACATTGAAACTTGTTTATTTATTTGTTTTTGGTTCATTTATAGTTAACATGGCATAGTGTGTCTGGGCTCCTGAACCAGCCTGACCTGTCTCCCCCCTGCTCCTCTTTGAGGCAGCAGCAAAGACTAGTTTTAGCTCTCAACAAGTTTTTTAAGTTTATCCTACCTTTTTTCACCTAGTTAACTTTTTTTTTTGTATTATTCATGCATATTTTACTAATCACTCCCCCTTCAAATGGAAATATGTGTTTACATAAATGGTGACCAAACCGTTTGAGACCCACAGTGAACTTAGACTAAGTTAACTATCTAAGCACTCAGAGAGTCCTTTACCTCACCTGAGCTGTAGTTATCAGTCTCTCAGTCTGACAGGAGAGGACTCTCCTCCACCTTGTTGACAGCTCATTCCGTTAGCGCCGCTAGCTAGCACCGGATGCTAACAACAACAATACACGTAACCAGTGCACGCGCTTTCTCTCTCGCTTGCTCGCGCCACACATACACACCCTCCCGAGCTTGAATGACACGAGACCAATCGAGGGCATTAGTGTATGATCTGTATGAAAGTGGCCATGTCGACAGGCCACATCATGTAGACAGCCAGTCACCCTCTGTGAGGCAGAGTCAGACCCACATTTGCGCAGCGTTGCGTTCACAATACATTAAAAAAATTCCTCAAGCCAGCAGGCCACTTAACAGGCCAGGCCATCGGGAAACCTCCCGGTCCTCCCGATGGCCAGTCCGGGCCTGCTGTCATGGCATTGACTACTTACATTGGCTGTATTTCAAACCTCGAAAGACGAGCTGTTTGGAAATGTTCGGAGAAACTGCATAATTTGGACTGGTGCTGAAATGTCACACTTTCCCATGCTAGCAAACCA